CATTATAATGCATTAAAATAAAATTAGGAGGTAATTTAACATAGAATCTAATTTTAATGCATTATAATGCATTAATCACTATATACATTGATCCGTCAATGCTTTTATGCGTGATGTTTTCTTTTCTTTTTCCATTATAACATTGTGAGACACAGCGAAAAATTGAGAAAAAATTGTTTTTTCTGCTCTATACGCTATTTTATACATGACATAAGGTAAGAACATGAAACAAACAAAGAAACGAGCGCCATAAATATCATTCAGAGAGAAATAGAGAGAACACAAATATTTTCATGGTTTCTGTTGAAAGAAAAATTAAACTTATTGTTTCAAATATTTGTTCTATATGAAACAAATTATAAAAAAAAACAAAACACTAATGACAATGTCTTACATATTGTCGTATTACAGGATTGTCGGCTTTCAAATAAATCGGTTTACCATCCTTGTGTTTTTCTTTGTTATAGCATCGAGGTGGAATCAAACGCTCTGGATTTTTTGGTTGCACTTTCGTGACACAAGAAACATATCTACACTCCTCACAAGTTGCTGACCATCCATACTTGGGTGTTTGCGTTAACGTCGTGTAAATTACTCGCGGTTGATCGTCACCGAGTTCTTCCGCTAGATTCATTCGTTCCACAAAGTCATCGATTGCAGTTATTGCTGAGGACGATTCATTTGTGTATCTTTTAGTAGCTAAACGAAGCATCTATACTAATTATTTATTATTAAAAATAATAAAACCTTACCGCCTTGCATATAGCCATTTCGAAAGCGCCCATCTTCCCGTTGAATCATCTGTTTTTGACTTTCCATTGTTTTGTGTTCTAAATTATATACATTATTGTAATGATATCGAAATATTGACGTAAATAGTGTGCTTTACTTATAATATCATATCTTGTTATTAAACGATCATCAGAACCATTTACAAAATAAGTCTTACCGGAAAGTTCGTAACCGCTTGTGATCTTAATATTGGAACCTACGATTGGTTTGCATTTTGTCTCATGCGTTTTTGCAGCTGAACAATATACAATATTACAATTATATTTCAATTCATGATTATAAAATAAATCTTACCACCAAGTTTGTAACTATTTGTGGTGGTACCCTCGGGAAGTACGATTGGTTTGGATCTTGTCTCATGCATTTTTGCACCTAAATAATATACAATATTACAATTATATCTCAATTCATGATAACATAATAAGTCTTACAGGCGATCTTCCTTCGCGTGGTTGGTAATCCATTCTTGTCGACGATAGGTTCAGCCATATATGCGTGTAAATCTTTTACTAAATGATCAAAGAGAAACAATAATATAATTTAAATTTTTCAATTCTCTCATAAGATTCACACTTACTGTACTTCAGCTGTTCCTCCTTACTACCGCCCTCGACTCGACCGATGTAATCATAACCACTATTGCCTTCTTTTCCAAGTAAAAATGAGCACAATGTCTCCATTTTGAAGCGTTCTTCCTTATCCTGAACAAGAAAAATTAAATTAAATTGCTGAACAATTATTCGACTTACATGTAGGCGTTCACCAGATAAAATTGGCCGTACTTTCACCCAATCGGTAAATTGGTCAGTCTTCGATTCCTTTGCTTTTTGTCTTAAGTAGCAAAATATCGGTCCTAGTTGACCTATAATAAACGAAAATTACATTATTATAGCATAAATAATCTATTAGTAATCATACCGTTTTTATCTGAAGTATTGTAGCGCCAAACACGACGTTGAAAATTGTTGGTTTCACCAATTTTGCCACGAAGATGAACAACTGGTTCCATTTTATCGAAGAAAGCAGTTTGTAAAACACCTGATTTTCGAAGTGTTTCATCATCCATCATGGAATTGTAAACCGGACGAGGTATGCATATAGTTACTGCATAAACTGCCGGTTTATTGTTAAGCTCTTTCTGTGCAAGAGATCCATCTTCAAAGTCTCGTGCAGTTAAAAACGGTGCTTGTGTCGATTGACGTTCAGTAAGTGCTTTCTAAAAAAGAAATAATTAATTCCATATATTTCTCCAATGAGTGTTATTCTTATGTCCCTTATACACTATTATCCAATTAAAATAGGCATACGTTCTGAGTAGCTATTGGCTGCTTCTCTTTTCTGATTTTTTTCTTCTCGCTCTATGTACGTGTTAATTAATACTGATCAAAACGAACGACGTGAAAATAACATGCATTCCATACAATAAGGCCCTGATTAACTTACTAATAGTTTTCCTGATTTTGGTTGAGCACTCAATTCATCCAATGACGTCAATAATTCAATAATATCCACTTCTTCTTCTAAATTGAGAAAGAAAAATTACATAAAAATATGAGGTGCTATAGAAATATTACCTGAATTGCACAAATAACGTGCAGCTTTCTCCGTTTGATGATGGTTTTTGATACGTTCTTCAATCAATTCTTTTATTTCAGCATATTGAATGGAGCGCACCGTTCTAATAAAAAAAAAATAGTCGTATTTATTTCCATAATATTGAAGAAATCAATCTTACGTGCTCGTCGTTGTGGCATATATTGATCTTGATTTAACAGCGGGCGCCGCTAATTGTGATCTTGATCGAAGTGTTCGAGTTGACGATGATACTTGGTTTTCTTCCGTTTCGCATTTGATCAAGGAAGTTGAATCAACTTCAGCCCTATGTGAAAAAATATTTGCAGTAAACAAGTCGTTCCACTACACTTTTTTTCTCTTATTCGTTTCTTATCTAAAAGAAAAGTTACTTACGCTCTATTGACAGTTCGACATGAACGTGGTTTTGGTTCCGGAGCTTCAATTTGAACAGGTGGTTTTCTTCTGGTTTGTAGCTTGTAATGTTTTTCTTCTTCTGCTTCTTCTTCTTCCTCTTCTTCTGCTTCTTCTTCTTCCTCTTCTTCTTCCTCTTCTTCTGCTTCTTCTTCTTCTTCTTCTTCTTCTTCCTCTTCCTCTTCTTCTGCTTCTTCTTCTTCTTCTTCTTCTTCTTCTTCTTCTTCTTCTTCTTCT